ATACTCTAGGATTATTTTTAACAACTATGTCTTAAAATAATTCCATCTCCACAGGCAAAGAAAATGATTTGTTTTGAGTCTGAACACAGCTCTGAAAGAACTCTAAATTTCCTCTCCATGTGCTGAGGACTCCTGCCTCCAGTCATGAGAACAAAGAAAGCGTGGTCACAAAGAGGTGGGCAGCTATTAAATTAGGTAGCAATTAGGACCGGTACAAGAACTCAGAAAGCCAGAAATACATCAAACACTAGCAGATTTACACACCACCCTTTCTTAGCTCCCTAAATATCTGCTACCACATGCTGCTGGGGCTCTGTCCCTGCCAGCTTCACTCTGCCCTGGAAATCGCACTGTACTCCTGCTGAAACAGTCACTGACAGATTCCATTATAAGAGCATATATGCCACTTAATCAAACAGCTTCATCACACTTTCTAATGTACTGTATTCACTTTGGGGAACACTATGTGAATACTGATTGGCAAAATTTGGACCATATTCTTATTCTTACTAATTGCAATTTATTTCAGAAATAGACCCACTGATTTTGCTTTCCCAGCACAGCAATTTTTCTGGTTCTCTCTTCAACACTTTCACACAGTTATGCCCAACTTCGCTGCTGATCTTCAGTATTCAAGGTAATTGCTGGGTAATAAACTTTTAAATGATCTATCTGCTGGGAGTGAGTGTCAGCTGACAGGTATTTTTTAACTCTGAAACACAAAGTCTTTGTTTCTGTACCAGGTACTTACCAAAATCACTCTTGCAATCTATTCATCATTTAAACCCTGATTCTAATTTTTTCTAGTCATCTGTGTAAGCATCTCACAGAGACAACTTAGCACTGGCATCTGGCTCTTGCTGTGTCACTTTGCTGCCGCCATCTCTAAATGTCTCACTATACACTTTATTGCTGGCTATTAATTTTTAAGATAGCTTTATGTTCGTTATTAACACCTTATTTCTCAAAAGATAAAAACGGTGCTGTTGCAGACACGGGTTCTGTAGAAACATAACATCTGAACATACGAGAACAAGGACAGAAGCTTGTTTCTGAAGGATTATATTTCCTTCTCAAATTTTATACACAAACAAGTTTCTCCTTCTTTCCCCATTGTCTATGTTGTTTGGATAACACATATTTCCAATTGATAAAAAATAAACAAATCCCACCAACTAGAGCACTACCATTACTCCAGAGGGTAAGTAAGTAATTGTCATGCTTTCAAACTTTCTTTTCACCTCTGAAAGGCAGAATAATGTAGGTCACTTTTAATGAGGAGCGTTGTGTGTGGCTTTCCCCCACCCAGTACACAGCAACCAGGCACTTACAAGTTCATGTTCTCCCTGCACCATCACTGTATTTTATCATTTTTCAACAGGGTTGACTTTTGCCCACAATGCTGGGGACTTTCACATGGTGAAGTCTCTTGGCTGCCTCATTAACTCTGAATCAGTGTGTGCCCTTGCATTTCACTATATAATTTCCTCCAGCATTCATTATGCTGCAGTTTAAACAGCCTCTGGCTAGAAACTTCTTGAAACATCATGATGAAATTACTTTCTTGACAATATACAAGTCAATTACAATGTAATTAAAAGATACACTAATCCATTCCCTTCTTTGGTAATGGTACGTTGGTTAAGATCATCCAGTGCATACTTGGATGGTATCTATGAAACTTTTTGTTATAAACTGTAAACTACTGTCCAGAGCCCCTGTTTTCTCTCAAAGATGCGAGAATTGTGATACCTGTTCTCTTCTAGCAATCACAAGGAATTAAAGGGGTACAAGCTGCTTTGGATCTAGGGTCTCCACTCCTCAGTGCTCTGACTCCCCAGGAATTTCAATGGGGTTTTTTGTCATTGGGCTGGGAGGATTTGGAAGAAACCTGGCACCTGGAAGGCGTACGCTCTCACCTGCTGCCCTCCATCACATCGGACTCCTGGTTTTCAGCACGAGCCTCTTGCATATTCCTCTGCAAGGGAACAGTTACACTCCCTTGTCTTCACTCTGCTGCCCACTTTTACCCTCTTCCCTTTCTGTCCCATTTTCCTCTTTGTTGCAATGTCTGTCTACACGACCTCCACACATACCAGCCAGGCCCTTCTGTCCTTCCCCATCACTTGGCAGATGCATAAAGGCCTGAAGGCAGCAAAACGAAGCAAGTCCCCTGCCCCTTTGCCAGCCGTCCTCACAAAATGAGTTCCCAATATTCACACCTTTAAATATATGGGCTCAGTGGTTCCCTTATTCCCTCACTTCAGCCCACTCCTAAATCCTCCAGCTCTCCTCTGCCCTGCAGCACTCCTCACGCTCCTGTGCCCTGGGGCTCTGGGGAAGAGGGACAAGAACCTGCCAGGAGGAAGGGGACAAGGCTACACCTGCTGGAAGAGAGTATGGGGCTGAAGGACAGGGGACTGTGGGGGGTGCAGACCTTCAGGGATGGCAGCAGCAGCCTAAGGAAGCCACTCCTGTGAGAAACACAGCCCATCAGGTTGGTGGTGCCTCGGGAGGAAATGAAGTACCCATCAGGTTGACATTACACAGCCAGCCCCAGGCTCTGCACGGCAGCAGCACTAATGGGTATCAGCGGCCCCATGCTTCTCCTCATACTTGCAGTTCAACACGCAGCCCACAGAGATACGTTGACTGCTAGAAGTAAATAAAGCTCATGACAACTGGGTAGCAGTGTTTAAGTGAAGGGTCCTGTATTCTTGATCACTTTAAAATATTTTTATTGTTATGACATAGTATCAACTTCTGTTGGTAAAAAAAATACCCAAAATGAATCCAACATCTTCCTACAAGCTGGATTTCAGTGAGATGCTGCTGCAAGCCAATGTGCATCATATGTGTTTGTCTAAACTAAAGTATTAGAACAGCCTCTCTGCAGTTCAGACAAGGATGGAGAGTTGTAAGAGATACACATCCTTTGTCACCACCTTCCTTCTAGGGCTGGCCCCCTTAATTTACTTGAGCTTCAGCTTTTTTATCTTTAAAAAAGAGATAACTTCTGCCTGCAGGGACGCTGTGACGCTAATCCATCTGGTCTTTGCCAACACATGCAAAACTTTATTCTAATGAGTGAGATATAGAGAAAACAGGACACCACCAACTGATACTGTCTATATTCTTCCTCACAGTCCTATCCAGTTTCATTTTCGGCTGGAAAACTAGGTCAAAACACTAAACAGCAGTTGTTTGAGGGAGAAAGGCAACTTTTAACTTATTTTGGTATAAATGCCCTTCTTTTTCCAAATCAGCATTCTTAAAAGGGACAGGCAGGGTAACGGGGGACTCTCCACAGGTGAGAGTGAAGGCTGCATTTCTTTTCAACCTGTTCCTTAATCAGCAAAGGTTCAATACAAGAGGAATAATTCATGTGGCCAGCAAGTGATTCTTGCTTGGGAAGCCCTGAGGGAGAATTTTAATCATGGAAAGCTCACCTTCTTCTAAGACATGCTAAAGTAGGCGCTTGGTTCCCTCTAAATGTCTTTTGGGCAGATTACAAAGCAAAGCTTGGATGCCCATCTTGTTCTCAGCACGCCCTTTGCAGTTCTGGCAGAGCCTCTGGCTGAGGGCACACACTACCCCCGCAGCTTCCCCCTGCCACACACAGTAATTACTTTCTCTTCATTAATTGGTCTTAATGCATGCATGCACATCCACAAATCAAGCAACCCGCTGCTGCGAGTACAGCACTTCTGGCTTGGAAGTCATGCGGGCTGGGCTTTGCCCAATACCACCAGCACCAGCTTCACCCAAGCAGGAGCAGGAGCATCCATGGGGTGTAAGCAAATTTCTGGGGGGCATCAGCTCTGCCCAAGAAGTTGCTGGGGTTGTGTGTGCTGATGGAAGGCAGCTGGGGCAGTCAGCTCGTGCTTCCAGAAATGAACACACCAGCACAAACAACGTGCTGATGGAGGCATATTAATGCTGTACCCATGTCAATGAAACATTACCATCAATTTCAGCAGGCAGTATGGCTGATTTATAAGCCAATATATAACAAAATATAGCACAGGAGATGTTTGGAAAAACAAGTATTCGATACACGCATGATAAATAGAAAATCTTTAGTAAGGGATGATTTCTGCAATCTCTCTCCCAGGACAGTGATATTTTAACATCTTCATCCAAACAGAACACACATAAACAGGCCGTAAACTTGTCTCATTACCCTGTGGTTTGTGCTTTGGCAGAAATGACAGATGATTTTTGTACATGAGCAAAATGTTTTAACTTATACCTTTGACTGTGGTCTGCTAGGACAAAGCAGTCACCTCACTAGTTACTTCAGATGGACTAATCAGAGGGCTAAAATGTGGTATGTAGTAAAAACTGCTGTCTGAGCAACCGATTCGATCCGACTGATCAGGATTCTTACAGGAAACACTTCAGTGAACTATCTGGTAATGAAAAATGAAGAAAGAAAAAACAGTGGTGGTGGGGAAATTGTCCTGCCTAATGTGTCACCTAAGCCTGATGAACTCCAGTGCAAAAGCTGAAGAAAATTCAGTACTACCCTGTAAACAGTTCAACCAGGCAAAAGTGAGTATGCATCTGGCATTTACATTAAAAGCTCCAGCCTGCACATATCAGTTTCCTCATTCCATTTAAAAAGAACATTTTTTTTTCACCAAAAATGGCCTCAGCCTTATCTACCTAATACAGTGATGGTTTTACACACTATGTTACAGACTCAGTTTGGACACTTAAAGCTCTTGGCTCATTAAGATCATGAAGTCAACCTAGTCAGAGATAAAACAAACGAAGTTTGGCAAAATCACTTTAAAGGTGCCCTGTGTTTTTCCAGTATTCACTGCAAATGCCCATTGTGGATTATTGTCCTGAAACCAGGACAGTTATATTTAAAAAAATCAGTATTTATGAACTTAAGAGCTTAATGTAGCCCACCCATGTCCATCTTCAGCCAGGGCTGACAGTCACAATCCTCTCTGCACAGTAAACACATGGGGGTACCATCAGCCTCCTACCTTGGTTCCATCCACACTGATAATCCGATAGCTGTTTCTCGTGCTGTCATAGAAGTAGGAAACAGTTACAGCCTGCTTGCTTGCAGGAACCCAGTTCTTCTTCGTGCTGGGGTCAATTTGGAAGACATGGGCTCTGGTGGTGAAGATGGGCTGTTCTCTGGAATAGGGAGGGACAGGAGAAACGGATGCATGAGTCTGCGGAAGATGAAATGTCTCAGAAGCCCAGCCTTGACCAGGCACGCTGAAAGCACAAGACAGAGAGAACCTGGCAATCCCCCAAGTTGAAAAGGCAGAGCAGTGACACTGCTGAGCCATGATCCAGCCATGGGCAGCTCTCCTTGGCATCACTAAGTGACACTCAGTGCCCTAAAGTTACTGCTGTAGCCCAGGAGGCAGTTGTCTGTTTTCTCCCCATGTTATACTAACTTGGTACCCACCTTTTCCTCCAAATATTTATTTCCAGGAAAGGACACTCACATGCATTCTTTCTTTCCCCATTCACATATTGTGCCAAAAGCAATAACAAGTCCCCCTTGGCTGGATTTCCTCTCGCGATGCATTCCTGTGAACCACTACCTACAGCCAGGGCTCCTCTGTGGTTGCACCAAGGACTCCAGCAACCCACAGGCACAGTATAATTACTGAAATATTAATCTCTATCCTTAGTATCCCACTGTTCTGTGGATGCACATGAAAATTTCATCAGAGGCAAAAGCAGTCAATCATCCTGGTGAGTGAGGGGGGAATGAAATACAAGCAAAACCCTGTGTTGATATATATTGCCTTTCAGTTCAACTCAGTGGATGATACACTGCCCCTGACACTCCGTTCCTGAACACCAATCCTCCTTGAATGCTTTTTCTCATCAAGAAAATTGTGCTTACAGCGGAGGGGTTTTGTTTTACCTTCAATGTGTGACAATGCAAATCACACATCACAGCAGAGAAGATGCAGGACCAAAAGAACAAAACATGATACACATAAAGTCTTCTGGGTTGAAGATCAGAATTAAGACTTACTTAAAGGCCATAAAACTAAATTCACTTCCAACTGTATCTTTAATCCAAATTTAGAAGTAGAAATGAACTGCAAATCAAGCTCTACTGTGCTTTTATGTACATTTTTATCCTTTTAGTTCTGGAAAGCTACAGTATATAATGGCCTACATTAAGTGTACCGCTCAATATATTCTTACCACATGCGAAATACCGTATCATGAATAGTTACTCCTGACAGAATTATAACAGGATTCAAACCCTACTGTACTACAACAGAGTTACCACCCAAAAATGTTTACCACATGGAAACTGAAAAGGCTGCCAGGCTGAATTTTGCACAAAGCAAATGAAAGGAGGCAGGTGAAAGGCCAGAGAGACCTCATGCTCTCATATGCTATTCTTTCCTACTCATATGAATAATAATCTTCTATTATTCTCAGTCCCATAGTTTTGGAACTATGTTTTTATTAAGATTTCTTCAGCTCCCTGTGTACCCACCTGTGCTTCTGCAGAACAGAACAACTCCAGGTACTGCACGTGCAAACTGGATCAACCACCAGTGGGAGTAAATTTATGAATATCAAACAGATGAAGTGATTTAAGAGTACAATTAGCTCAGGAAAGGCGGAGTGAACTTTCAAAGCCCGGCAAGTCCTCAGGAGGGAGAAAATGAAGCAAGGGTTTCCTCCTTGCAAGACATATGCAAAGTTGTAGTTTTTTCCAGGGGCTGCCATGCAATTTCTGGATGGACAGCAGTGCCAAACCCTGTACAATACTGCAATGAAATAAACTGAAACCGCAATGAGACTGTCACATTACAGCTGTGAAACAGCAGCAGTTGCTTCTGCTCTTCCTTACCAGTAACTCACTGGACCCGACTCTCGTTTCACATGCTAAAATCGATGCTGTCCTCAGCTGGGAGGAAAGAAGGAGCAGGTCTCCATAACGTTTAAGGAACATTTCCATCACCCATTACACAGGATTAGCAGTGTAACACCCACGAAGGTCACAGAGTTTGTTTGCAATAAGGAATGCAGGGAAGGGCACTTTCCCCCAAGCCACTTACTCTTCTACTCTAAAAATATGTACTTCCCTGAGTGAAGAAAAATCTCAAATTATTTTGCCTTTTACTTAACTCTGTATTTTTAGCAGATTCGATACTAATAGTTTCTGCTAATGGCAATACGACCTATATATCACAGTCTAAACTTTCAGCAGATTCCTCCATACAAACCTATTCCACAAACAACTTTACCAATAACCAGAAAACACTGCTGAAACTACACCTGGTCTCTCTGCAGCAGGAGCTGTAAGCGTATAAAGTAAATCTGGACATAAGAATAGAATGAAGTGAAAAACTATCCCCAGTTTTTCAGGAGTTTTGTAGCAGTGACTGTTGCCAACAGGAGCCATATACATGCATCCTAGTGGATAAATTACTGGATAATGAAGCTCAGGGCTTGAGATAGCCATCTATCTATTCATGTGGGCTTTTATTGAAAAGTAAAGGCAAAACCTAACTATGTTTCTAATTCTCATGATTATTAAACCAAAAAATGAGTGCATTTTCTCTTCCTGGGTGCAAACAGCAGCCCCATCACTCACTGTGATAGTGCGCTAGTTGATAAATGATTAAGAAAAAGGAAATGTGATGTGTAAACTTAGGCATTTTAACTCATTCAAGATAAATGAGCTGTTGACCTTCCATTAAGACTAAATTTGGAAGGGCCAGTTGGTTGCTCTCCATGTATGCCTTTGACCTTTCTGCCATATGTGGCTACAAAGCAGCAAAGCCCCAAGACTGATTTTTGAGCCCCTGGAGCAGAATCACCCCCAGGACACAACCTCCTGGAAGGATTTCACAGTTTGGCTCGCAATAACTAAGAAAAGAAGCTGCATTTCTGCAGCTGTGCCTGCTCTGCAGCCAAATCCACTTGCAGGTCTGCACTCAGCTGTTACCCCAAAGAGCCCAAACCCATCAGCAAGGCCCATGAGTGGCACTTTCCAGCACTGGGAGCTGGTGCCACCACGCTTTCCCTCACATCACAGAAGGACAGCAAAGCCAGCAGCACTGACAAACTCCAGCAGTGCAGCTTTTCACATGGGGGTGGTGGAATAGCCTCCTTCATTGCACCCCAAACTACTTTCACCGGTGAAGCACACACAGAGGCAACTCTGTAATTGTGGCACTCAATTTTCAAATGAAACACTGAATTAGACACTTTAAAGCATTTAACACAACCTCACAGAACTCCAAATTGAGATGGATTGCTCTGCGTTACTTGCAGCTTCTGACATTCAAGAAATCACTTTACTGATAGAATATTAACTTTGTTTTCCAGGCTTTCTTTCCTTTCCTTTCCTTTTCATTTTATCATTTCATTTTATGCTTAAAAACACAGCAATGCTAACTTGAAATCCCCACAGCACATCCTGTGTGGTTTGAGCCCCTGTAAGCCGCTCGTTACGGGAGACTGCCAGTTTGCCTGGGGAGGCAGGGAGCGGTGGCTCTGCCAGCCAGGCTACAGACTCATAAATCACAAGACAAAGAGAATTTATGAATGTTTAAAATCTCATTAATTTTAACCAAAGTTGTTAATGATTGATTAAATACTCTTATTAAAAAAAAATGCATTTAAAAATCATTTTGACAGTTAACATCCACTGTTTGGAGTAAAGCTGCTTGAAAGGCAGCAAATGGAGACCTAAATTATAGCTAATAAATCTGCATTATTAAACAAAGAACAAGACAGAAAATGCACTTTTATAAGCTTTTTAAATTATTGACTATCTAGAGATAACCAACTGCATCCGCAGCTGTGTGAGATACAGTATCACTTTCTGGTTAATATACAACCATGCCAAATGTTACAAGCATATGACTAGCTGCAAGCCATGTGTTTTATATTACTCTTCCTAATCAGAGGGAATGAGCTCTCACTTAGGAAAAGTTCAAATTATTTAATTCAAAGTTCCTTGTTTACCATTTGAATCATGAGCACAACCAGTGATTTAAATCACTTCAGCTGTCAAGAGCCTTTGCTGACTGGCAGCCAGCATCGTACAGGCTGTGGGGTATCGGTGGCTGATGGAGTCGTGGCCAGCCAGCATTCAGGAGAGCCCCAGGCCCAGCCATGTGTGGGGCTGTGCAGAGCTGGCTCCAAACAAGGCACTGATGATGCGAACACCTGTATTGGAGCAATCTTTTCTGATAGTAAATACAACACAGGGACTCATTGGGTGCCTGCGGGATCAGCACCCAGGTACTTTTAAATGTGCAAAGTGTCCAGTGCGCATCTGGTAGATGCACTGACCAAGCTGTAAATAGAACAAAGCAGCTCCTTTACTTGCTATAGGATCTGGAACATCAAACGTATTTGTGACAGGAGCTCTGGTACCTCGCCAGAGGCAAAGCCACTATTTGTACATTTTGCTAAAACTTTCATTAGCAGATCACATAAAATAATTTCTGGGACAAGGATTCCTAGTTTTCAGGACAGGATTATTTGTACTCTCCCCACACCAACGCTAGACAGCTTTGCATTAACTGCCTAATTTACCAATGTGAATAAACATATCTTTTAAAAGAACACGTCCTCATACAGCTGCCATTTGGTGGAGGAGGCACTTGCCTGCAGAAAGTGCATCACTCTGAGTTTGGAATGCCGCACTTCCTGCTACAGGCCAGCATCATGCACACGCTGAAGTTTATACTACCTGACAGTGTCAGCAGATCTGCAGTGATTTGCTGTAACAACTATTAGATAATGACGCTCTTTCAAGAAAGCAAAAGAGTAAGCACAAACACAAAATCCCACATTGTGACACCCTCCCATCACTGGTCACAACACAAAACATTTTATTTGCTAAACACACCACGAAAACTTTGGTGTCAGTACTTATCTGGATTGATCATTGCTACTACTGCCTGACAATGCAATGAAAAGAACTAATCCTTTACGTATAGCTTCACATATAACATGTTTTGGAGTGCCATTTGTGTGCATTTATGATAATGAAAAAATAATCAATGTTGCTAACCGGAGAAGCGCTGTTCCCACCATGGCATTTCTACTGTCCCCGACAGCCACCCTCACCTCCAGTGTGAAAGCAGGACGGTAATGACACCAGCTCCCAAAGCCACCAAGCATTACCTGTG